TGCCTAAGGCGCCTCAAGCACGCCCAAGAGAGCCTGAAGACGACCCCCGAGAGGGCCCGAAGAAGCAATAATCGGTTCTATCCTTAGGGGAAGTGCGCATTTCAAGCAGATTCGCATTTTCAACATCAACAGCGTCCAAGCTCAAGGGGCCCCCAAGATCGTTCCGAAACGGCCCAAGAAGCCCCCAAGAGGGCCCCAGGACGGCCGAAGAGGATCCCAAGAGGGCCCAAGAGGCGCCCCCAAGAGAGCCCCAACAGGGCCCCGAGAGGGGTCCAAGAGAGGCAACTCGAAATGACATTCCGAGCCCTCCGCCCAGAGAGGTCCCCGAGGCCGCCAGCTGGCGCCCGAGAACCTCCCAAGAGGCCCGAAGAGGCCCCCCAAGAGGCACAAAAGAGTCACCAGTGGACTTCATCCCTCTTCTGGGAGTCGGCGGAAGGGCGCAAGCCTCTTGAATAACCTGGAGGACTTGAGAGCATGAGCAGGAGAACCAGGAGGAATCTATTAGGGGCCCGACCACAAGAAACCTTCCAGAAGAAACCCAACCCTGAAGCCCCAGGACGTCCATTGATTTCTGGTGTGGGAACGTCACGCTTTCCTTCGCAAAACCATCGAAACCGCAGAAGCCCAGGGTACCCTGGAGGCAAGCAGGGTGTTTCTTGGCACGGGCCTCCACTGTACGTGGACGCAAACGCCGCTGCCGCTGTCGCGGACGCCGCTGCCGCAGGCGCTGCCGTGGCTGACTCCTGCGCCTCTGGCGGCGGGGCCGGCGCCGTCACGGCAGTTCGCCAGCCGGCGGCAGGGGCGGCCTCTCGTGGGGGAAGCCGCAGCCGCTGCAGCTGCTCGTCGTCGTCGACGCCGTCGTCGTCGTCGTCGTCGTCGATGGAGTCAACGTCGTGATCGTCGACCTCGCCGATGGACTTGTTGCCGTTATCGTCGATGGTCTCGTGGTCGTCATCGTCGACGTCGCCGTCGCTGCTGGTCGCCGCTGCTGAAGGACTAGACCGCCGCTGGCGCCATCGCTGATGCTGCAAGTTGTCGTTGTCGGAGAGCTAGACTATGTGTCCTGGCAGATCACCACCGTCCCCCATTACAGTGTCCGGCGTGTGCCATGCCCTGCAAGGGTCTCTGTCCCCACTGACCGCCAGACCGCCGTGGACCAGACGGGCGCGGCCGCCAGAGGAGAGACGCCACGAGGACGCCCTGTGCTCTTACGCGTTCGCTGATTCTGCTGCGTTTTTGCCCAGCCTCGGCGCGGGCAACACCTGTAAGGCTTCAATATGCAGCTTGAGCTGGTGGTGAAAACGGGCCTCCAGGTGGGCCGGGGGGCACGCGTAGGCGGGGTGTGTGGGAGCCAACGTGTGGGGTTGCCGAAATGTACCTCGGTTGTATAAGATGTCCGCGGTCGTCGACGTCCTCGTCCATCTCCTCGTCCCGCAACTCCTCTTCTGGTGGGGAGAGGGCGCAGAGAGACAGAGAAAGGGAGAAAGAGAGCGAGACAGAGATGCACTTGCTCCTTCTCTTCTGCCTCCTCTTCTCCTCGCTGCTCTTCTCGAAATCCTTCACCTCGCGATCCTCATCGTTTTCATCTTCCGCCTCCTCATTACTACTCCCCCCTCCTCCTCTTGCAGCTCTCTCTTCCTTACCCTCATCTTCATCCCTACTTCGCTTCCCCCTCCTCATTCCTTTCTCCCGTCGCTCTTCTCATCGCTATCATCCCGATCGTCTCTCCTCCTGCACCCTGTCCCTCCTCCTTCTCTGACTCATACGTGCTCGTCCCCCCCCCTCCTCGCTTCACTCCTCAATCCTCATCCCTTACGCTCCTCCTCCTCCTCCTCCTCCTCCTCCTCCTCCTCCTCCTCATCATCCTCATCATCATCATCATCATCATCATCATCATCATCATCATCATCATCATCATCATCCCTCCTCCTCCTCCTCCTCCTCCTCCTCCTCCTCATCATCATCATCATCATCCCTCTCCCTCATCATCATTATCATCATCACCAGCATCATCATCATCATCATGATCAGCATCATCATCACCATCATCCTCATCATCGTCATCATCATCAACATCATCAGCATCATCAGCATCATCAGCATCATCAGCATCATCATCATCATCATCATCGTCATCATCATCATCATCATCATCACCATCATCATCATCATCATCATCATCATCATCATCATCATCATCATCATCATCATCATCAGCATCCCTCATCATCATCATCAGCAGCATCATCATCATCATCAGCATCATCATCATCATCCCCTCATCCTTCTCCATCCACCCTGCCCCCTCCTCTTCAGGCGTACCCCCCCCTCTCCTGCTGCTCCTGCTTCTGCTGCCGTCGCGCTCCTCCTGCGCCTGCAGCTGCCGCTCCCCCTCCCCGCCGCTGCTCCTCCCTCGTCGAGAGGCGGCACCGAAGGCCACGGGGCCGGCCTCCTCGTGCTGCTCCTGCGGCTGGCCGGGCAGGCTGCCTGCGGCGCGAGCGGAAGAGGGGGGAGGGGAGAAAGAGGTCTCCTCCTCCTCCTCCTTCTCCTCCCTCCCCCCTTCTCATCCATTCATTTTCCTTCTGAATGCAGTCAGGACGCTGAAATAAGGAACAGTTTGGGTTCGGAAAGGGGCTCGCTGTTCCTCAGGTTCAGCCAGTGCTGTTCCTCTTGCCCTCCTGGGGCACGGAGGCGCTCACAGTGCCAAGAAGGGGCTTCGTTCCTTATTTAGCGTTCCTTCTTTCCGCGGCCCGACTGTACTCTTTTCGGGAGCGCGCAAACATGGATTAGCGATCCATGGATTTGGCGCGCGGCCGGTGCCGCCTCGCTCGGCGGCGGAAATCCGCGGTTTCCCGTGGGAGCGGGGCCCGTCGCTGATCCACGCCCCCCTGATCCATGTCTGCGATCGCCTACTCGTTGCCAGCTCGAGAAGGTCGCCCCGTGGCTTAGGGAACAGAGCAGAGCAGCAGGGGAAGGAAAAGTTCGAGGAGGAGAAGGAACAGCAGCAGCAGTAGCAACAACAGCATCAGCAGTGCAAGCGGGCCGACGCGGCCAGCAGCCGCTACCTGGCGCCTCGGCTTTGCGGGGCGCCCATACAGTCGGACCTAAGACAGAAACACATCCTTCAAGAGCATGTGATCCTTCCCCAAGCCAAACTGAAGAGCACTCGAGGGTGCCCTCCCCCAGGATGCACAGGATCATCCAACAAACACGGAAAGCATTAGGGGGCCCTCCCCGAACGGACAACGATCTATACCTCGGTCCGCCCGCAGTGACAACGAGTCAAGGGACAGAGAAGGAAACCGGGGGGGCGGTGCCCATCCGAGGATCACTTCCTGTTCTCCACCTGAGGTTCCATCCCCCAGGCAGGGCCCGCCGACAGGCCCCCCCCCTCACCAAACAGAAACCAAAACATCACACATCCTCTGGGTCCGGCTCCCCTTGGGCTCTGCGAGACTGTGCCCGGGCCCGAACAGCCAGCTCAGCGACTCCTGGCTCCGCCGCCTCGCCCCGGGAGCCGAGCCAACACGCAAACAGCCCCGCAGCCAGCTCCGTTCTGACTGGGGCCAGCTGTTCAAAGAACGAGGACACTCTCGAGATCTCCTGGGCCTGCTGCCCTTCCGCTGCCACGCCAGAACGGTTGGACCAACTCGCCTAGGCGGCCCGTGAAGGGGTGCCGACCTGCAAGAGAAACGCGCTAGCTTTCGTGGGCCGGTCACCCCTCGATCTGATCCCCACGGAGTAGCAGCTTGCCGTCGCTCGGACGTCCAGTCCCCGTGCATTTTCCCGTTTCGTGCGTGTTTTTGCTGTGCTCGATGGTCCAGGATGCTCCTCGATGGTTCTCGCCGGAAACAATGCACACGTCCGAGCGATGCCAAGGTAGTGACTGCAATGATCCAAGGGACTTTGCTCGGAGGCCTCCCGCGGGCTGTGTGCGCGGCCCCCCTTGCAGGGTAGTGTGTGCGGCCCTTTCTGAGGCCCCTCCTCTAGTCGTTGCCTGACAGCAGAATGCCAGCAGTAGGCAGGACATACAATGCGGGCGTGGTCGCAAGAAACCCTCGCAGAAAAACCCAACCCTGAAAACCCGCGCGCGAGGTGCACCTGAGGGGAAACCCAGAGCACCCGGAACGCGGCAGCTCCTTCCATGGCTGCGGAAAGGCACCGCGCAGCGCGCGGAGCGGAGAAACCCAGGCTACCCTGACGAAGAGCAAACGATTTCCTGTGCGCGCCCCCACTGTAGTGCCTGACGCCATCCGGGGACCTTGGATTAAGTCGGGCCTGTCCCCTTACAAGGGGGTTTTCGAAGAAAAATAAAAAATACGCCCAAAATAGCAAAACAATGCTAAGAAAATAGTATGGAGACTATGTTTTTAGTATTTTTTGATTTTTTGGGGGCATTGTTTGGGTATTTTCTATTTGTCGTCGAGAATCCCCCTGTAGGGGGACAGGCCCGACCTAAACCTTGGACAAAGGACTCTGCTTGAGCAGCCCTTTCGCCGTGGCGGTCCTCCCCCGGCTGCCCCGCCGAAGCCCTGGGGGAGGCAGCAGCAGGAGCAGCAGGAGGAGGCCCGGCCAAACGAGGAGGTCGGGGCTCGGCTTGGGCTGCCTCCTTGGCCTGCTCGGAGGTCGGGGTCGGCTTCGCCAAACAGCGTGGAGCCATCTTACCAGAGCGAGCGTTCCGAGTTTCACCAACACGTTTGTAGCCTCCAAGGCAGTAGTTGAATGGTTTTCGGTTGCACTTGTTGATCGTCGCAAGCCGACCCCTGTTTTTGGCGCCTGTTTCGAGGAGGTGGGCGCATTCCCCATAGGGGACGCGCTGCTGCAAAGAGTCGCACTGAGCAGAGGTCCGGGGCCAGCCCCCCCCCTTCCCCCACCATTTCCTAGGCCCCAGAGAAATCAAGGAACCCAATGGGCCAATCTCCGAAGTCCACCTCCATCTTTGATCCAGCGATGGGCTGGTGGTCTCTCTCTCCTCCACTCCCACCATCCTCGCAGTGCACCGATCGACATACTTCGAAATTTGCATGGCCACCGCCCTAAACCCTTCCAGTGCGCTCGCTTCAGCTTCACTCGCACGGGCCTGCAGCGCACCTTTCTTCGCGAACTCGTCTGCCCCCTGGTTCCCGAGGGCGTGGAACTGGGAGATCTCGCCTCCCTGCTCATCACGCAGGGTCGCGTGGCCTTTGACATGAGTGACAGATCTCTTCGTGGAGTTCTCTCGCACACGAATTCTAGTCCAGGGGTGAGCCCTGGCATACGAGGGTGACTGCGCCATGGACGGCTTGGCGCATCAGCTGATGGTTCCTTTGCAATCACACATCGCCTGGTGCCGCCCAAACGCTAGCTCCGAGATATTGGAGATCGCGACGTCTTCCCCGTCAGTACCCACTTGCTGGGGCCCAAGCAGTGGAGGGACAACGCCATAGATTACACTTGTATGCTTCCTCTCGGAATCGAAATAGGCAATCGCCCATGCAACGCACCTGATTGAAAAGAAATCCCCGTCAACGCGAAAGCAGTCTACATACTCGAAACACCGCTCCAATAACGCAAGCACGTCCGCACCTCGGAACACGACGTCCCATTCGGGCTGGAAAACACTTCCGAGAACACTGGTGGGAAGAGGAAAATGCTACGCACGAGCCTTTCTCTCCACTGAGGTGGGCATCCACCATCCGCTTGCGCAGACGGCTTCCCCAAAGGTATCAGCTGTCGCTCCTCCAAGCTGCGTGGCCAATGCAGCGACACGCCCCGTGGAGAACAGCATGCCGCGCCCTCCTTGCCACGGCCAGCACACGCCAGCGGGCGTAGGCCCATTCGTATTCAGCAGCACGTGGTTCCAGTGAGAGTCCGACATCAGCTCCCCCCCCACAGAGACATTCTGATCTTGCCGGGGCCAGGATTCCACACGGATAGCACACAGCAGCTCGAGGGCCGGTCTCCAGAGCAGCCCGGAGTCCCGCGCCCTTCCTTTGTCATATGGAGCCGCAGCGCCCGCCAGTCGGAGGCGCGCGTGGCAGCGTGGGCTACAAGGTTGCTTGAGAAGCCAGGCGAATATGACACTTTGGCCCACTCCACCCCCCAATCATCGACCGCCACAGTGGCTCCCGAAAGCTCCACCCAGGCCATCACTGGGTCCTTGGCATGCAACCTCGCCTGATCCAGGACCCCCATCCAGGATCCTCTGGCAAGATGACTTCCCTGGAACATCGCAGCTAACGTCTTGACTAAGTCCGCACACGTGATCACTAACGGTCCTCTCTTCCCGCCAACTCGTCTGGCCCTGGGCGAGGGACCCAACGGGGCGCCGCTCTGTCACCTCCCTTGGGCCGTCGCCGCTTGGACTCTGAGAGTGGTGAGGCGCCCGTCTGGGATGCCAGCGGCGCGCGACCCCCCACATCCCACGCCGCCGCCGCCGCCGTGAGGCCTGACCGATGAATCGCTCCGATACCTTCACCTTCGCCTGGAGCCCGCAGGATTCGAAGCCCCTTCCCTCTCTTCAGAGCATCGTGGCGCCTGCAGAACTGGGCCTCCCATCTTCTGAGCCTACCGTCAACGACGCCTCCTCCTATATATATATATATATATGTATATGTATATACATATATGTGCATAGCGCCCCTCGACCAAGACCCCAGATCCCACCGAACCTCCAAATGTGTGGCCCAACGCACTGGTGGGAGGGAAACAAGCCAGCCTTCTGCTAAGACATCGGGGCGGTTGCGGGGAGCGCTGGCGCAGATACCTCTGGTGAGCTGGTGAGCCACCGTGGTTTCCCTAACGATTTCGCGCGCGGTGCCGCGCGAACATGCACGGTTCCTTCACAAATCATGGGTCTCGTCAAGATCTCAAGACCGAGGTGCCCGAAACCATGGCGAAATAACCATGGTTTCCCACAGTAGTGCTTCAAACCAATCAGCGAGTCCGCTCTTGCTAGTTATCTGGGAAACATCGCAACATTTTCGGCACATGCGACCATGCGGGTTTCCCACGCGCGCGTCGGAATCATTCGAACGCAATTGCGCGTTTGCCGATGGGGGCACGATCCCAATAAAAAATACGGTCGCGCGCGAATGGCCACCTACATCACAACACCAACATCACCTACACGTTAATATTCTTATCGGCGTGACCAACATCGGCGCCGTCATTGGCCACGACGCCGTCATCGTCATCACCGTCACGGTCAGATTTGCTATTCGCATCGTATTCGCGACGTCGCCATTATACTGCGCCCGTCCAAGTAACCGACTCGCACTGAAGTGCCCGCGCGTCAATGCGGCCTGCGAAACGCGCTGGAAGTCCCCAGCGGTCAGCGCCAGACTAGCTGGCCGATCTGTACGCGAGCAAGAACGCGCTAGCTCGGCCGCAGCGATGCGCCAGCCATTGCCAAGCAATCATCGCGTTAACTACGTTCGGGTGGGTGGGGTGATTGCGCCAGCAATTAAGCTGATAACTCCAAGTGCTTCAAACATAATTTCACCACG